TGAAGTTATTTACAAAACTGGTCAAGAAATACTAAAACATGAACATCTTCTCACATGTTCTTATACTAAAACAGGACATCTTTGTTCTTCACAGGGTGGAAGGAATGAGTGGCTCATCACTTGAACTCTGACTTTTTACTTTCATTTCTTTACAAGGTTCCTTTTTTGTAAAAAACTAAAATGACTCCTGCTGCAGGTACTTTCCGTTTATATTATTCAAGACTGTATAAGGAAAAGCAGCATATATGTGTGTGTGTATATATATATATATATATATATATATATATATATATATATATATAAAGAGATAGAACTTGGCACTCACCCTTTACTAAGTATATCAGATAGACCTTGCCTGGGTGCAAACCTTGGCGTTATGCATACAAAAAATATGAACAAAAGGTGCACTCACAGGTCTTCAAATGTGCTAATTTTTATTTTACATGCAAATTTACATGTGCAAAAAAATCTCCAAACAAATCGACGTTTCGACCCCTAAAGGGTCTTTTTCAAGACCTTGGAAAAAGACCCTTTAGGGGTCGAAACGTCGATTTGTTTGGAGATTTTTTTGCACATGTAAATTTGCATGTAAAAAGAAAAATTAGCACATTTGAAGACCTGTGAGTGCACCTTTTGTTCATATTATATATATATATATATATATATATATATATATATATATATATTAGGTTGGTCTCTTTGTATAGTTACTGAAAATAATCGAAATTGGAGCTCTTCACATTTCCGTACTCTTGCACTATCTGTGTAGACGTTCTTTACATCACTCATGAGTAGAGTTGAGCGGACAACTGGATGTTCGGGTCAGGCGGGTTCGGCCGAACTTTGAAAAAAAGTCTGGGTTCAGGATCAAACCTGATCCCGAATTTCACCCCGAACCCCATTGAAGTTAATGGGGACCCGAACTTTTGGCCACAAAAATGCCTCTAAAAAAGTCCTGGAAAGGGCTAAAGGGCTGCAAAAGGAAGTAAAATGAGGGTAAGAGTAGGACAAGTGCCCTGCAAACAAATGGGGATAGGGAAATCACTTAAAATAACATAAAATACCTAAAAATTGAAAATACAGCTGGGCCATAAAATAGCACTAGATGGAATCTTTGATTTTAGCTTTGGAAGAACATAAATCAAAATCTATAGCATGGCTGTCAGGAGCAGTGGCGTACACATGACCCATGGGGCCCCGGTGCGAAAATTGATCCGTGGCCCCCCCCCGCGCGCGCGGGCTGGGCCGCAACACATGGCGGTGGGCACCTGGTCACAGGGGTTACAGGGCTGCGACCCCTGCGACCGCGGTATGTACGCCAGTGCATGCAGATGCACACACACTTAAAGGACCACTCTAGGCACCCAGACCACTTCAGCTTAATGAAGTGGTCTGGGTGCCAGGTCCAGCTAGGGTTAACCCATTTTTTCATAAACATAGCAGTTGCTATGTTTCACTGAGGGTTAATCCAGCCTCTAGTGGCTGTCTCACTGACAGCCGCTAGAGGAGCACACTGAACGTCCATAGGAAAGCATTGAGTAATGCTTTCTATGGGCGGTTTTATATGCGTGCGCGGTCCCATTCGGAGCTGAGAGGCTGAGGGATCCCCAGCGCCAAGGGAGTCCGGCGCTGGAGAAAGGTAAGTGCTGAAGACACACACACACACACACACTTACAGACGCATACACAATAGCTAACAGACACACACATTTACTGACAGAGACACAGTCAGCGACAGACATACATACACACTCACTTACAAAACATACACTCTCATTGACAAACACAAACTCACTAACAGACATCAAACAGACTCACTAACACACACACTCAGTAAGACACACACAGTAACACACTCACTGACACTCACTATTAGACACACACACACACTCTAACACTCACACTAACACACACTCACTAGCAGACACACACACACACACTAACACTCACACTAACACTCACTAGCAGACACACACACTAACACTCACTCTAACACTCACACACACTAACACTCACTAGCAGACACACACACTAACACTCACTCTAACACTCACTCACTCACTAACACTCACTCTAACAACACACACTACACTCACTCACACTAACACTCACACACTAACACTCACACTAACACACACACTAACACTCACACTAACACTCACTCTAACACACACTCTAACACACACTCACACTAACACTCACTCTAACACTCACACACACTCAAACACTAACACTAGTTTTTTGTTTAAAATTTAATCCCCCCAGCCTCCTTACCTTTTGGAGTGCTGGGGGGATCCCTGGGGTCCAGTGGTGCTGCTGGGCTCCCGGGCGGGCGGCCGGTCGGGCAGGCGCGCGGGCGCGCGAGGGAGCACTCAGTGTTTCCTCTTCAGCTCCCTCGCGCGCCGCGTAGGGATGCCGGAGCCGGAAGATGACGTCATCTTCCGGCTCCGGTATCAGTGCGGTGCGCGAGGGAGCTGAAGAGGAAGCACTGAGTGCTCCCTCGCGCGCCCGCCTGCCCGACCGGCCGCCCGCCTGGGTTAGCAGGGCCAGCCTCGGGGGGCCCTGGGGTGGCCGGCTCCTGGGCCCCTCAGGGGAAGAGGCTGGCCCTGTGGCTACATACCGGGTCGCAGGGGCGGCCGGGCCCCCTGGTGGTCCGGGCCCGGTCGCAGCCGCGACCCCTGTGACCCTGGTATGTACGCCACTGGTCAGGAGGATCACCAGAATTATCCATTTGAGAGAGGGTTGGAGTGCAGGGTATTCTTTTTCATTGTTCAAACTGAGGTCAACTCCTGATGCATGTAGAAGAGGCCTTCACAAGCCTCTGCTATTGTGTACATAGTTTATACTAAGTGACCCATTTTGAGGAGGCGGTGACCGTGGCGGTGTAGGTGGAAGCGGCAGTGGAGGAGGAGGTAGCCAACGCTGTTTTTTATTTGTTTTTTGTTTTTTTTAATTGGGGTAGCCCCCCAAATATTGGGACATATAAAAAAATAAATCTCTGTTCCGCAGAGCGACTGACCGTGCGTGCGCAGCTGAAACTCTGCTAACGCCGGCTGCTGCTCGCACAGTCTCATGAGGCGGTGAGCGGGAAGGATGAAGTTACGCTGCAGCGCAGACAGGCGAGCAGCAGCAGGGTGAGAACGCCAAAAGCACACACAGACGGCATGCACTTTCTGCAGCAGCTCTGATATATCTGGGTATACACCGTGGCGGTGTAGGTGGAAGCAGCGGTGGAGGACGAGGAGGAGGTAGCTGTAGCAGAGGCCTGGTATTTCACAGGTTAACTCCACTAAGATCCCAGTGAGGCTCAGGAATAAGTGATGAAAAATCCCATGAAGTAATAATTCCAACAAGCAAGGTAATCCACTAATATCCCCATACAGATCCCAATGACTGGACGACACACAGCATCAGGAGCAGAACTGACGTTTATTCCACACAACCTCCTTTTAAGCATTTCTCCCATGCAAGGGAGGGATTCACATTAATACAGTACAGAATGGAATAGCAGTTACCTCCCACACATCTCCTCCCCTTAGTATGATGTACCCCAAGATTAGCAGGTACACCAATACTTAGGGTACCCCCTGGTAGCCCTTATCTGGGTGACTAACATATCTAAAATTCACCCAGATCAGACCAGGGGTTCGGGAGTTAGGTGGAGGGTAAAATTTGACCGACCGCACACGAGGTGGTATCCGAAAAAAGTTCCATGCGTTTTGGCCCTGCGGTCAGTCTCCGTTCGGGAGGTAAAATACACAGAAATACATGCCATCCACCATTAACCCGGCATTCGAATGAATGCCCTTGTTAGGTACTCCAAACTCACCGAACGGGTGGCTGATTCATCTTCGTGAGTTAAGGAGCTCTGGAGGTGTCAGCGGTGTTCGGGTAATTGAGTGCTCGATTTGAGTTCCAGACACTCGACGACCAAACACCGCTGAGTCTTTCGTGCGTAAGATGGCCGCCGCCACGTGTTCCCATGCCGAATGGCGGCCACCCAGATACATCCATAAACCACCTATTAGTTTGCAGTTAACACGTATTTTACAGCTTAATTAGGGACACACTTCACTCTGGGGAGGTCTATTCGTTCGGTAGTTTCCATTTGTATGAAATACAGATGGAAACTACCATACAATCATACAAATGCCAGTTACAATGAAATACAAAGCAGAAACAACACACGAATTGCAGGATTCTCATTGTCTGTAAGGACAGCCACAATACCATCCGCTACAGTAGCAACACTGTTTTTTATTTGTTATTGTTTTTTTTTTTAAATTGAGGTCGCCCCCAAAATATTGGGACATATAAAAAAAGAAAACTCTGTTCCGCAGAGCGACTGATCCGTGCGTGCTGCAGCTGAAACTCCACTATCGCCTGCTGCTGCTCGCAAGGTCTCATGAGGCGGTGAGCAGGAAGGCCGAAGTTACGCTGCAGCGCAGACAGGCAAGCAGCAGCAGGGTGAGAACACCGAAAGCGCGCACAGACGGCACGCACTTTCTGCAGCAGCTCTGATATATCTGGGTAGTTTTTCAGGAATTTCTGCACCACCAAATTCAGCACATGCACAGACGGCACGCACTTTCTGCAGCAGCTCTGATATATCTGGGTAGTTTTTCAGGAATTTCTGCACCACCAAATTCAGCACATGCAAGGGATGTGCATCAAACCGGCTAGGCCCAGAGCTTCTACGAGATTTTGCCCATTATCGCACACCACCAGGCCGGGCTTAAGGCTCAGTGGCAACAACCACTCATCGGTCTGTTGTTCCAGGCCCGTACACAGCTCCTGCGCGGTGTGGGGTTTCCCCCCCAAACATATCAGTTTTAAAATAGCCTGCTGTCATTTCCTCCTGGCTGAAGTTGGTGGTGAAGGTGTTACGCTGACCGGATGAGGAGGTGATACAGGAGGAGGAGGCAACAGGAGGCAAAGCTGTGTACCCAAATAGATTGTCAAACGTTGTATCCTGGAACTGTGTCCCATCCGGTTACTGGGGAAATGAGTCTGACCTATTCTTATCAAAGGGGATAACCACTGGTTACCCAGGTTCCGCTTCAATTGGTGGCAAGCGGTGGTATACCTTGTGCCTGCCAACAGACCCATGGACTACAGTGCTCTAAAGCAACCTACAATGCCGAATTTGTGTGGAGCCAGAGGAATAACGCCTGGTGGGCGTAACAAGGCTGAATTGACTGCTGCGCTCATGGAGGACGACCAGGCATGCAGTGAGGCAATGAACACCAGCCAGGGGGCCGGAGATGAGGAGGAAATGCACAAGAAGGTGTAACGGCGCCTGGCATATTACCGAGAGCCACCCTCTGAGGAGATTGTCAGCAGCACCTTTTTGGAGGTGCAAGCCTATGTCCTTGCCAATAGACAGAGAGTGACCTCCATGAACCCAAATGAAGGAAGAAGGTTGCAGAGGGCGCCTGAAGCACAACCACCCTAGCCCACAAGCTACCATACAATGCCATACCATACAATGCCTTCAAAGAGTTCAAGGAAGCGGAAGAAGGCATCAATGACTTTTTACAAGACTTTGACCGCCAGTGCCTACTCCAAGACGTGGACCCCAGTGACTGGGTCACCATCCTGGCCAGTAAACTAGTGGGGAAGGCAGCAGATATTTACCGGGCTGTACCAGAAGAGCAGATCAGAGACTATACCTTTATTACACAAATCCTCCTGGCTCGGTATGCGGTCACCCCTGAGCAATACCGCCGAAAGTTTAGGGAGACCCGGAAAGGAGAGAAGGACATACAGAGTGGGCATGCCACATCACAAGGGCCACCCAGAACTGGCTCAACTCCCATCATTTCAAGTTCCCAGAGGAGATCACCCAGCTAATGTGAGCACTTTTTCAATGGGCTCCCCAACTACACGGCTGGTGAGAGACCACCAGCCCCAGACCCAAGAAGTATTGGTATAAGCTGCTGACGCTAGGTCATGATATCCCCTTGGCAGGGCATTTGGGCAGGAGCCGGACAGAGTCTCGGCTCACCCACAGCTTCTTCTGGCCAGGCATCTCTCAGGATCTGAGGCAGTACTGCCAGATGTCTGCCAGAGAGTGGGGAAGAGAAAGGACCGGCACAGGGTCCTCCTCCATCCCCTACCTATTAGTGAAGATCCATTAGGCAGAGTAGCTGTCGACATTATAGTTGCGCAGGCACTTTGGTGACTCTAGAGAACCTCGGGCCAATCGCACATCCCTGTGATGGCGACAATGCATTTGGATGTCTGCCCTATCAACTTTCCATGGACTTTCTGCGACTACCATGGTAAACACGGGTAACGGGGAATCAGGATTCGATTCTGGAATTCAGGGAGTCTGAGAAACGACTACCACATCCAAGGAAGGCAGCAGGCGTGCAAATTACCCACTCCCGACGCGAGAAAGTAGTGACGACAAATGACAATACAGGACTCTTTAGAGGCACTGTAATTGTAATGACTCCACTTGAAATCCTTTTGCGCGCTGCAGCTGAAACTCCACTATCGCCTGCTGCTGCTCGCACAGTCTCTCCAGCATGTGCAAGGTGGAGTTTCACCTTGTGGGCAAGTTGCATATGAGGCGGTGAGCGGGAAGGCCAAACTTACTCTGCAGCGTAGACAGGCGAGCAGTAGCAGGTTGAGAACGCCGAAAGAGTGTACAGCCGCTACAGTGAATGTCACATCCTGTTTCAAGTTGCGGATCAGTCTGGTGATGGCTTCTGGTATCCAGTACTCTTTTTACTGAAGCTGCATCAGGGTCCTGGTATGTGGCCGCACAAACGCTGGTGCACAACACCAGGGTGTGTGTGGTTACCCTGCACCAGACCCTGCTAATATATTCCACACTGTGACTCCTAACTTCAACATCAGGCATACTGGGTCCCGGTTGTCCGACCGCCACCCAGACAGTGTCTGGGTCCCGGTCACCGGACTGCTGCCCTCAATGTGAAACTTGAATGGCTCATTAAATCTGGCACGAACCCGAACTTTGCAGTTCAGGTTCGCTCAACTCTATTATGAATCCTTTGATCGCTCCATCTGTTACTTGGATAACTGTAGTAATTCTCGAGCTAATACATGCTGATGAGCGCTAGGGGACGGCCCTTCTGCTCTTGCACCCTGCTCCCTCTTATGCTGTGCTGGTGCCTCTGTGCGATCAGCGCCTCTTCCTCCAAACTGCACATGTCACTCGCATGACCTTGATTCCATGTGGGGTCTAGGACCTCATCATTCTCCACATTATCTTCCACCCACTCCTCAACCCTGCCCTCCTTGCCGGTCTGCACACTGCAGAAAGCCCCAGCAGTTAGCACCTGTGTTTTTCCAGCATGTAAACTCTCCAAAGGACATATGGGAATTGTTTTAGAATTGTATCCAGGCAACAGTTTTCCCAGTAAACGGACCTCTCAGTTTGACTTGTGAGGGTATTGCCCCCGAATTACAATATTGTTATATTGGTATTTGATGGTTCTATTTGACTGTCAGATATGAAGTGCAGGTCGCAAATGTACTATTTAGCACCCAAAACAAAATTTGAATTGGTCAAACTGCGCTGTAATCACAGTATTTGACGGTTCTATTTGACTCTCAGATATGAAGTGCACACCCCAAATTTACTTTTTATCACCCCAAAAATTTGAATGGGTCAAACTGCGCTGTAAGCACAGATGGTTCTATTTGACTCTCAGATATGAAGTGCACCGCAGGACGCAAATGTACTATTTAGCATTAGCACCCAAAACAATTTGAATTTTTCACAGCACCCAGACACACACAGCACCCCCAGACACACACAGCACCCTCAGACACACACAGCACCCTCAGATGCAGACAGCACCCTCAGACAGACAGCACCCTCACTCCCACACATATACAGCACACACATATATATATATATAAAACAAGAGGGGGTTGGCTGCACTCACCTTAACATGCATAAATAGGGGTGCTGCTGGGGGCCAAATAATACAATACTCAAGATCCAGCGCACTCACCTATCCACTAAACAGCAACTTCAATGTTGAAAGATTTTATTTGTTTTTTTAAAACACCTAATCTAGGCAAAAATAATGGGGGTTTAGTTACATTATATGATCATACATTGCATAAGCCTGCCACAACGTCAATGTACCCCATCTTTGGCAGGTCCTACACTAACAGCCTAATGTCTGCTCTTATGAGATTAACCTACTTGGGGAAAGAAATTCCATCTGGGGCTCTCTGCAGTACAAGGCTAAATAGGGCCCTGGGATGAGGCACCTGTGACAGGGAGGGGTGCAAAACCAAGGAGTTGGCTAGACTCCCAAATATATATATATAAAACAAGAGGGGGTTGGCTGCACTCACCTTAACATGCATAAATAGGGGTGCTGCTGGGGGCCAAATAATACAATACTCAAGATCCAGCGCATTCACCTATCCACTAAACAGCAACTTCAATGTTGAAAGATTTTATTTGTTTTTTTTAAATGGGGTACATTGACGTTGTGGCAGGCTTATGCAATGTATGATCATATAATGTAACTAAACCCCCATTATTTTTGCCTAGATTAGGTGTTTTTAAAAAAACAAATAAAATCTTTCAACATTGAAGTTGCTGTTTAGTGGATAGGTGAGTGCGCTGGATCTTGAGTATTATATATATATATATATATATATATATATATTATATAAAATAACCCTCAGTGAGTTAACAGACAAAGAAAATTAGAAACCTAGAATGTAACGGCAGATAAAAACACCCTCACACACAGCACCCCTCTTACACAAACACACTGCACACCTCACACATACAATACGTCCAAATATATTCTAAATATATATACACACACACTACAGCACCCCCCACACTGCACCACTACACACATTACGCTCCAGATACACGCTAGATCCCTTACCCTATATGCACTCTTAATCCTCTACACACACACACACACACACACAATCTTCTATACACACTCTGGGTCCTTTACACACTAGATCTCTTACACACACACACTGCACCACCTACACACACACACACTATATTCTTTGTAAGGAAAGACATACAACATTCTCTAAACACACCCTCTCTACAACCCCTACACACACTACGTCACCTATACACACACACTACTGCCCGTATGTACACACTCGCTACATCCCCTATAACACTATGCCCCTATACACGCACTCTCTACAGCCCCTAGCCACACATATTACACCACAAAATTGACCTATTTACACAATACTACACCACACTCTACACACACAGGCAATATCACAAGCATGCGCCAAACACATGCACCATACACTTTCCTGACCCTTTTATCCTCTGGTATCCCACTTGTGGAGACACCAGAGACAATTTAAAAGCAAACACAGCGCAAGCATGTTATTACATTTGCTTGCGCTGTGCAGAACAAATACAGGACCTTTTTCTAATGCTAGAGCTCTTCAGCGGGGCTCTGCGCATTGAACCAACATGCTCACTTTCAGAAGGGGCGTACTTGTCATTAGTGATGACAAAACACACCCTCTCTGGCCCCGCCCCCATCTTGTAGGGCTGCTCTAATTAAAAAATGCCCGGGACTAATTTTTTTCCCAGTCCGGCCCTGACTCTCAGATATGAAGTGCACCACAGGCCGCAAATGTACTATTTAGCACCCAAAACAATTTGAATTTTTCAAAGTGCGCTGTAAGCACAGTGTTTGATGGTTCTATTTGACTCTTAGATATGAAGTGCACTGCAGGCCGCAAATGTATTGTAACGGAGCTCCCTGTACTCCGACCGAGTACCCTCCGTTGACGGATGCTCCTAGCGCTTCCTGAGGACTCCCAAGCACTGCAGCAGACACCACAACCACCGCAGACTCCACAACCGCCGTATCTTGACTGGAGTCTCGCCGTCTTCCTTCCACCCTGGATCAGCTTCTGTCCTCCAGGACTGTGTGGGAAAGAACTCTTCCTCCAAGGAGAGCATGCCAGGAACAAGTTCTTAAAAGAGCTAAGTGACTCAAGCTCAGGGGAGCATGCAGAGCATAGCAATCCCCAGTGTGATTATAACCGCTCCCTCCAATAACGAGACAAGGCTACGTTTAGAGGGATCAAGAAGAACTGATGTTTAATGGCACACACTCTGCTTTTATGAGATTCTGCCCATGCAAGGGAGACACCCACATAATTAGCAGTATAACCAATCAGAACAATATACATTCGGGGAAATTCCCATCCCTCAGATAATCACATAACATAATTAAAACAGAACAGTAAAAATACAGTTTTTATACATGTACTATAACTTTCAAACTACACATCCAATCTTCATAAAAATTACATATTTGGAATCAATCCATTAAGGGGAGCAACATATTAAAAAATGGCACAAATCAGACAAGGGGTTCAAAAGTTAGCAAAAGTGTATTTTGGGGCCTGGCTGGCAGCATGGTTTTCTGGCCCAAACCGGTTTTACAGAGGCCTCTATCCTGGACAATGGGGAAAGTAATCCAATTATCCAGGGATAGAGGCAGACTCCATTAACCACATGTTAGCAAAAGACACAAAAAGACACAAAAATACATAACTCCTATTGAACTGAACAGAACCCCCACATTCAACCTATCCCCAGATGGCTTGGATCTGAGTGCTCAATATAGCCAAACAGCGCAAATACAGTCAAATCGCTATACACACTAGGTCCATAGTCATGGGGCAGAAGGCTGGCAATTAGGCTTCTCCATAACACAGGGAAGCAGGGCAATTTGTCAAATAAAATAACAGTTACAAATGGCAGTTTGTAACATATCTCCCCTTTTGGAGGGAGACTAACCAGGCACCTGACCTCCTGTCGGTCAGTGCCTAAGTTAGTCTCGCAGCCCACCCACAAATAACAAGTAGCAAAGTAGCCCTCCCACAATAAACAGTACTGGCCTGTAGGTTCCAGGTTGTAGGATGAAAATGCAGCATCCTTTGCCTTCCTGGTGCAGCTGGGCAAATAGCTGGTGGTACTTGGGGGGCAGAGGCCAGCGGCGCTCTGCCCTGATGCCCGCACTTCTGCTGGGGAGAGGGGGTTGCAGACCAGTCCTGTAACAAGGGGGTCGGTAGGGCAGAGGCCAGCGGCGCTCTGCCCTGATGTCAGCTCTTCCGCTGGGGTAGCCGGCTGAATGTCACGCTCTGTACAAGGGACACAGGGAGGGCAGAGGCCGACTGCACTCTGCCCAGCTGCCAGCTCTTCCGCTGGTATAGCCTGCAGGACATCAGGCTCTGGACAAAGAACAAAGGGAGGGCAGAGGCTGACTGCACTCTGCCCAGCTGCCAGCTCTTCCGCTGGTATAGCCTGCAGGACATCAGGCTCTGGACAAGGGACAAAGGGAGGGCAGAGGCCGACTGCACTCTGCCCAGCTGCCAGCTCTTCCGCTGGGGTGCTGGGAACATAGTCCGGCTCAGTAGCCAGGGGAACATGGGAGTCAGTGGGGGTTAACATCTCCTCTGTTAACCCTGGGGCCAAGTTAGGAGTTAGCTGGGGAGGGGAATTCGTACTTACCCCCTCCTCCTGTTGTCCCTGTGAGGGTAGTTGGGGATCTTGACAGGCTGTCCAGCATCCCTGTAGATCGGGCACAGAGACCACGGTCCCCTCTGCGCCAGCTGGGAGATTGGTATCTCCCCTTGGTGGGGTAAGCTGCTGCTGGGGAGATAGGGTGCTGTGCTCCTCTCCCTGAAACACAGGCTGCCGCTGGAGAGGGAGACCGCCTGTCTCCACTCCCATAACAATGTCCTGCTGCTGGAGAGAGAGACCAACTGTCTCTGCTCCCTGTAGGACACACTGCTGCTGTTGCGGGGGAAGGACGACACCTTCGGCCCCCTGGAATTCGCACTGCCGCTGGGGAGGAAGGACGACACCTTCGGCTCCCTGTAACTTGCACTGCCGCTGGGGAGGAAGGACGACACCTTCAGCTCCCTGGAACTTGCACTGCCGCTGGGGAGGAAGGACGACACCTTCGGCTCCCTGGAACTTACACTGTCGCTGGAGACTAGGTGTCCATATCCTCAACCTCCACAGTTTTCGCTCAAAGGCCATTGCCGCACTGTTCTCAGCACTCAACTGGCGCATTACTTGGTGGACCACCTCATTCGAAAGGTCTGGGCCATAGCAGACCAACCGCCTCTTTACCTCCTCAATGTAAGCGTCGTCCTCGTAGCGACGTATCATGTTGAGGTGCTCTTCGCAGGGCTCTATCCATCCCTGCTCCATGCTGCTGTAGTTAGGGACGCTGCACAGTGGCTAGCGTTGCCCTCAATAACCTCTCATACGATACCAGTGTCTCCGAGCTGCTTCTCCTCGCACTAGGACGCCATCCCACCGCTGCCACCAATGTAACGGAGCTCCTTGTACTCCGACCGAGTACCCTCCGTTGATGGATGCTCCTAGCGCTTCCTGAGGACTCCCAAGCACTGCAGCAGACACCACAACCACCGCAGACTCCACAACCGCCGTATCTTGACTGGAGTCTCGCCGTCTTCCTTCCACCCTGGATCAGCTTCTGTCCTCCAGGACTGTGTGGGAAAGAACTCTTCCTCCAAGGAGAGCGTGCCAGGAACAAGCTCTTAAAAGAGCTAAGTGACTCAAGCTCAGGGGAGCATGCAGAGCATAGCAATCCCCAGTGTGATTATAACCGCTCCCTCCAATAACGAGACAAGGCTACGTTTAGAGGGATCAAGAAGAACTGATGTTTAATGGCACACACTCTGCTTTTATGAGATTCTGCCCATGCAAGGAAGACACCCACATAATTAGCAGTATAACCAATCGGAACAATATACATTCGGGGAAATTCCCATCCCTCAGATAATCACATAACATAATTAAAACAGAACAGTAAAAATACAGTTTTTATACATGTACTATAACTTTCAAACTACACATCCAATCTTCATAAAAATTACATATTTGGAATCAATCCATTAAGGGGAGCAACATATTAAAAAATGGCACAAATCAGACAAGGGGTTCAAAAGTTAGCAAAAGTGTCTTTTGGGGCCTGGCTGGCAGCATGGTTTTCTGGCCCAAACCGGTTTTACAGAGGCCTCTATCCTGGACAATGGGGAAAGTAATCCAATTATCCAGGGATAGAGGCAGACTCCATTAACCACATGTTAGCAAAAGACACAAAAAGACACAAAAATACATAACTCCTATTGAACTGAACAGAACCCCCACATTCAACCTATCCCCAGATGGCTTGGATCTGAGCGCTCAATATATCCAAACAGCGCTCAGATCCCACAAATACAGTCAAATCGCCATACACACTAGGTCCATAGTCATGGGGCAGAAGGCTGGCAATTAGGCTTCTCCATAACACAGGGAAGCAGGGCAATTTGTCAAATAAAATAACAGTTACAAATGGCAGTTTGTAACATGTATTATTTAGCACCGAAAACAATTAGAATTTTTAAAAGTGCACTGTAAGCACAGTGTTTGACGGTTCTGTTTGACTCTCGGATGTGAAGTGCACCACAGGACGCAAATGTACTATTTAGCATTAGCACCCAAAACAATTGAAATTTTTCAGAGTGTGCTGTAAGCACAGTATTTGACGGTTCTATTTGACTCTCAGATATAAAGTGCACCGCAGGACGCAAATGTACTATTTAACATTAGCACCCAAAACAATTTGAATTTTTCAAAGTGCGCTGTAAGCACAGTGTTTGACGGTTCTATTTGACTCTCAGATATGTAATGCACCGCAGGATGCAAATGTACTATTTAGCATTAGCACCCAAATCAATTTGAATTTTTCAAAGTACGCTGTAAGCACAGTATTTGACGGTTCTATTTGACGCTCAGATATGAAGTGCACCGCAGGCTGCAAATGTACTATTCAGCACCCAAAACAATTTCAATTTTTAAAAGTGCGCTGTAAGCACAGTGTTAGATGGTTCTATTTGACTCTCGGATATGAAATGCACCGCAGGATGCAAATGTACTATTTAGCATTAGCACCCAAAACAATTTGAATTTTTAAAAGTGCACTGTAAGCACAGTGTTTGACGGTTCTGTTTGACTCTCGGATGTGAAGTGCACCACAGGACGCAAATGTACTATTTAGCATTAGCACCCAAAACAATTTAAATTTTTCAGAGTGTGCTGTAAGCACAGTATTTGACGGTTCTATTTGACTCTCAGATATAAAGTGCACCGCAGGACGCAAATGTACTATTTAACACCCAAAACAATTAGAATTTTTAAAATTGCGCTGTAAGCACAGTGTTTGATGGTTCTATTTGACTCTCCCATATGAAGTGCACCGCAGGCCGCAAATGTACTATTTAGCACCAAAAACAATTAGAATTTTTAAAAGTGCACTGTAATCACAGTGTTTGACGGTTCTATTTGACTCTCAGATATGAAGTGCACCACAGGCCACAAATGTACTATTTAGCACACAAAATAATGAGAAGTTTTAAAAGTGAACTGTATGCACAGTGTTTGACAGTTCTATTTGACTCTCAGATATGTAATGCACCGAAGGACGCAAATGTACTATTTAGCATTAGCACCCAAAACAATTTGAATTTTTAGAAGTGCGCTGTAAGCACAGTGTTTGACGGTTCTATTTGACTCTCAGATATGTAATGCACCGCAGGATGCAAATGTACTTCTTAGCATTAGCACCCAAAACAATTTCAATTTTTCAGAGTGTACTGTAAGCACAGTATTTGACGGTTCTATTTGACTCTCAGATATGAAGTGCACCGCAGGACGCAAATGTACTATTTAGCATTAGCACCAAAAACAATTTGAATTTTTCAAAGTGCGCTGTAAGCACAATATTTGACGGTTCTATTTGACTCTCAGATATGAAGTGCACCACAGGCTGCAAATGTACTATTTAGCACCCAAAACAATTTCAATTTTTAAAAGTTCTCTGTAATCACAGTGTTTGACAGTTCTATTTGACTCTCAGATATAAAGTGCACCGCAGGACGCAAATGTACTATTTAACATTAGCACCCAAAACTATTTGAATTTTTCAAAGTGCGCTGTAACACAGTGTTTGACGGTTCTGTTTGACTCTCAGATATGAAGTGCACCACAAGCCACAAAAGTACTATTTAGCACACAAAACAATTAGAAGTTTTAAAAGTGCACTGTATGCACAGTGTTTGACAGTTCTATTTGACTCTCAGATATGTAATGCACCGCAGGATGCAAATGTACTATTTAGCATTAGCACCCAAAACAATTTGAATTTTTCAAAGTGCGCTGTAAGCACAGTATTTGACGGTTCTATTTGACTCTCAGATATGAAGTGCACAGCAGGACGCAAATGTACTATTTAGCATTAGCACCCAAAACAATATGAATTTTTCAAAGTGCGCTGTAAGCACAGTGTTTGACGGTTCTATTTGACTCTCAGATATGTAATGCACCGCAGGATGCAAATGTACTTCTTAGCATTAACACCCAAAACAATTTCAATTTTTCAGAGTGTACTGTAAGCACAGTATTTGACGGTTCTATTTGACTCTCAGATATAAAGTGCACCGCAGGACGCAAATGTACTAGTTAGCATTAGCACCCAAAACTATTTCAGTTTTTCAAAGTGCACTGTAAGCACAGTGTTTGACGGTTCTACTTGACTCTTAGATATGAAGTGCACCGCAGGCCCCAAATGTACTATTTAGCACCCAAAACAATTAGAATTTTTAAAAGTGCACTGTAAGCACAGTGTTTGACGGTTCTATGTGACTCTCGGATATGAAGTGCACCACAGGACGCTAATTTACTATTTAGCATTAGCACCCAAAGCATTTCTCCATTTTCTACAAAGGCATGTGTGAAAATAAAATTCTTATATATGGCATGTGTGAAAATAAAATTCTGGTAATTTCATTTTCACACATGCCTTATATGCAAACTTGGTTACCTAATTTAGAAGAGGTAAAAAAGTAAAAAATAAAAACACAGAGATCCCTTTTATCTGTAATTACTCAGCCAGAAATAAGAAGGTACGACATGTTATTAACAGTGAAGTCGCGAACCGTTCGCGAACTTGCCGCGAACAGTTCGCTGTGAACTCCGGTCAGCTGACACATCCCTGCCAATCTCTGGCAGACCCTCCCTCCCAGACCCTCCTACTTCCTGGACAGCATCCATGTTGAAGGCAGCTTCAACATGGATGCTGTCCAGGAGGTGGGAGGGTCTGGGAGGGAGGGTCTGCCGGAGATTGGCAGGGATGTGTCAGCTGACTGGAGTTCGCCACGAACGGTTCGTGGCGAACCGTTCGCGGCAAGTTCGCAAACGGTTCGCAACATCACTAGTTATTAATAAATATTGGTATCTTCTACATGATGATCCTATTTTAAAAAAAAAATTTTACCTCCAAAACCTAGAATCATACATAGAACGTGCAATAATATTAAAAATGTTTTAGTAAAAAGTAATTATAAAGATCCAGCAAATATTAGTAATAATAATTTCCTGGTTAAAAATAAGGGATTTTATGGATGTGGAATATGCACAGCAAGTAGGGAAGCTAATAGTAAGAAAAGACATATCAAAGATATTAAAGCATTTACGAAAAAAGCTTTTGAAATAAAAGATCAATTAACCTGCTTCTCCAAAAATGTGATTTATATTTTGAAGTGCCCATGCAATTTATTATATGTGGGAAGAACTATTAGATGTTTACACACCAGAATATCAGAACATGTGAGAAACATCAAGAAGGGAATAGAAACACATAGCATCTTGCATCATTTTAAACATTTTCACAATCAAAATCCCAAAGACCTCACATTTTGTGCACTGAAAGTAGTTAAGAAAAATTGGAGGGGAGGAGACTTTACCAAAAAAATTGGAATTGAAGAAATTAGATTTATCTTCAATCTTAATACTTTAGTACCCCATGTCTTAAATATAGATTTTGAATTGTGTCACTTTTTATCATAAAAAGATTCCCATTACCCATAAGGATGAATTAGGAAATAAAAATAAAAAAAATAAAAATTATAAAATTTTTTTTTAAATAAAAACCAATTTTTTTAAAGAAAATGTTTTTTTTTCATAAATATGTTTTAGGAAAATATATATATTGTTATATAATTCTTATTCATCTTTATCCCCTCCAATATTTATTTATTTTAATTATCTCATCTGTTTTTTCCCTATCTTATATATCTCTAAATATATATTTTATATACTCATATTTATATATATTCTTATAAACATATTGCACTAAGAAGTGGGATAAACTAATGCATTATGTATTTAAACTATATATTTATAACCAATGTATTATGTGTTTAAACTATTTATATTTATAAGTAGCACAAGGTGTTTCTTTCTATATATTTGACCTTTTATATTATTGTTGTTTTAACTTGTGTTTTGAGGAAAACCTCCTTTATAGACTTGGAATGAACACTTTAACTTTTTGAGCATCTGACATGCCAAAGATGAACGGAGGTGGAACGCATAGATGAGTTCCACAAGAGAGGAAGAAATATAGCCGAATCACATGACCAGAGGAGATTCACACTTCCGGATTCATGGAAGACAGACCACGTGATCGGAACGTGCGTTCCAACGGACGGAACGTGCTTTCCACCTACACCACTTCCGGGTACAGAGATGGAATTAATCTTCTAATTATGGAGGTATATATTCAGTACAGAAGCCGGAATAACCACAAGCCAACTGAGGAAGCCAAGATTTTTGGTGAAATGCGTTTTGGACATTTTATTGGACACTATTTTATAATATTTGTTGACTTATATAAGTCACCTCTTATTTTATTTTAATTTTATTTCATATGTTATTTTTGGATATTGTTTATATATATTTGTAGTGAATAAATTGTGGATCCTTGCATCATTGGAACCTTCCTTTCTACTTTGTATATGTAAGGGAGGAAGAAACCAGCAGGATATACAGCAAATTGGGTGGTTGATCTCCCTTATAAAGATCACAGAGCGCTACACACTACAGCCAGGTCACCAGTTGGCTCTACTCTTGTGAGTTGTGAATTACCATTTATTCTTTCTACACATTCTACATAGTTCGGACCATCTGCACTATGTGTATATTGTGTATTATTTTCAAAATGGGACATAATAGAGGGGAAAGACATTAGTCTGGCTTCTCTACTCAAAGCTTCTCAAGACGTGATTGAGAACAGATCATACACATTTGATGACTTGTCAGTAGTTATGAAATCTAGAAACCTGAGACTGAATAGAAAGTTAAATATCCCTGAATTTGTCCTGGCTTTAGGCCTTTACAGGGACGTAATTTGTTCTGCTTTTCACCTCCATAGAGAGGAACTTGATTTATATTTGCGTAAGTTAATAGACTTAGCGTATAAATACAGAGGCTACGCCTTTTATGACTACCACAAGTCCTTCGCATCTAGATCTGCTGCGTCACTGGCCCAATATAATACACCTACCGACTGGGTCCAGTTAGACACTGAATTATTTTGTAGACATTTTGCGGGTCTCAAAACACCTTCATGCGCAGTATGTTCCTCAGCAGCTCATACTGTTAACTTTTGTCCCAGCAACGTAGCAATTCCCTCCACTAGCAATGCCAACCCCGAGTTTCAACCCAACATGGCCCCAAGAGAATAGAGAGATAAATTAGGCAGGCCTATTGTTTTTCTTGGCAAGGCTCAAGTCTGTGACAATTTCAATGCCGGAGGTTGTAGTTACAATGCTTGCAGACACCTTCATGTGTGCTCACTTTGTTACAGAGCACATGCTAAAATAATGTGCCCAAACAGGTTGTACCCTAAAAGATCGTCTACACCAATAAACATACCTAATTTGCAACGTTACCTATCTAATTATGCTTCTTTAGATCTGGTAGAATTTCTCACATCTGGTTTCTCTAATGGGTTTCACACAGATTTCGTTGCACTCCCCACAGGAATTCTGGAATGCCCCAACCTACAGTCAGCACTCACTGACCCTAGTAGTCTACAGGAATTCCTCTACAAAGAAATCGACAACGGTTTCATGATTGGGCCATTTACAAGCTTTCACCTCCTGGAGAACGAACCTTCTAGTCATAGCTACAGGGAAGTTTAATGATAAAAAAATAATCATCATTGATTTTTCAGCACCTCACTCTTCCATGACACCCAGCTTAAATACACTGATACCATCCAAGGATTTCTCTTTACAATACGCAAGAATAGACGATGCCATACAAGCTATCATTAAATCCGGCAAGGCAGCATGATTAAGTAAAACAGATATCACAAATGCATTCAAACAACTGCCAATCCATCAATCACTCTGGCACCTACATGGCGTTAAGTGGTAAGACACATACTATTTCGCAACCAGACCAACATTTGGCTCCAAAAGTAGCCCCAAGATTTTTGATATTTTCGCCGAAACTTTGACCTGGCTCCTACTTAACAAATGCAGATGTCCAGAAATCATTCACTATTTGGATGATTTTCTCTCTATTGAACCACACCACTTCACACCAAGCAGCCTACATCACATGCTGTCACTGTTTGAGGATTTAGGAGTTCCAGTAGCCCCGGACAAAACAGAAGGTCCCAACACTGAGATTACTTTCCTGGGGATAACACTTAATTCAGTTTCAATGCAAGCTAGCCTGCCTCAAGAAAAGGTAGATAGAATTCTGGCATACATCTATATCTGCACCTCACAAGGGTCTTGCACCAGGAAAGAGCTACAGTCACTTCTTGGGTCATTCAATTTCGCAATGAGGATAATTCCACAGGGGAGGTAATTTATTTCCAGAATTCTCTATCTCTTACACTGTCTCCCCGATGACGATTCCAGAACTAACTTAGACGAACCAGCTAGAGCCGATTTAAAAATGTGGCATCTATTTC